TTTACACTCGAAGTAAGGGTATAATTTGGTTTTAAAAGTTTCTAGTTGTGAGATTTTCTAACTCCGTGAAATGGCCGTTCATAAAACGTCATGTCTCTGCATTTACCTATGTGGCTTGTAAAGTTAACAATATGGCTAAAATCCACTGCTAAATTTAATGAACCCGTAGAGAAATGTTTGGTTTTCCGTAGGTGGAAAATATAAGGTTTGTAGTTTGGAAACCTTGAATGCAAGTGTAACGGCCGGTCAGATTCACAATTATTCGTAATTTAGAAAGCTTTTGAAAACCTGATTATACCCTTCTTTCGAGTATGAAATTGGAAGAAGACGTAATTTTATACCGAATGGATAAAAGAATGACTATTTTTATGCATGTCTTCCATGAAATATAATTGAATTTTTAAGAGCATCGAAAATAAACGGGAAAAGTACATGCTAAGTACGTAGTCATTTTCCACAGATAAGTTTGTTCGAAAGCTGGCATCTCGAGGTAACTGAATCATTGTAGAATTATGCTCTACGATGATGAATTTTGCAATCCTGCTTAATTCATCTTTTCGAAACGAAACGCATTTCGGGATTGCGGTTGACATTTCATAAGTTAGCCAACCTACTATATGCCAATAAGTGATTTCGACCCTTATTTTTTATATCCTCAAAACTGGTCGTCAAAAACTACAACAAATCACACTACTTGTAGTTTTCTTTCCATGCTTTTCCTTTGTCCTTAGTTGACTCTGAATCTGAAAAACCCACAACACCAAGTACCTCTGATAAAATAAAAAAAATCGTTTCTTTCGTCTATATCCATCTAGACACTCGTTCCAACTCGCTCTGTAGCCTGCATATTCAATAACGTCCCGTCACATCCTACTGATCTTCGTCACTCACCCCACCCGCCTCAAGGATTGTGTTTTGCACTGAACCTGTGGTGTCATTTTTTCACATAATCTGCTTTTTAAAGTCACCGCGGATGCCTTGCCAGGGCCCTTGACACGTCTGCAAGCTTGTCTGCCAAGTGGTGACGAATTAAAATACGCCGATGTTGTGTAGGGATGCGCAGGGGCGCGTGTCGATCGTTGGCAAACTCTAAGGGGCCCTCCGACCTTTGGAGCATTTGTATTAACTCCGTACTGTTCAGCCGTCAACCGTGTAATTAGGGCTGAAGTAGCTGGGTTAGAAAAGTAGGTAGAGGAACTTTGGTCCTTGGATCACGGAATACGAAATAAAAACACCAGATATGAACAAGCCAATAGGAGGACTCTAACTACGTTAACTTTTTATGCTCAGCGAATCCATTCTGTCTCGCAGTAAACACTTTTTGGACCATATGTATACGGTCCTTTGTTGAAATTCACACCAAATAGAATGATTCTCTCATTCACTTGACAATATATAAAACATTTGCAGTTATAATCTCAATTAACTCGCACGTCTGTTGTTGGAAGACATTTTTTACGACATGACTGAAGTCTGACGGGCGAATTCTCTAGCCCTCTAGGGCTCAAATTTATTTTTGACACTAAATATTCGTACGCCGCATCCATGAAAATCTGCCCGTGTGTGTGTGTGTGAGAGAGAGAAAACCAAAGGGTGATAAGGTCTGGTATCTGAACTCCCTGGCGTCACCGTCACGCTCGACGCTCCATCACTTGAACCACGCATGATAGACGTCAGGTGGTGCTTTTCGCCTTTGCTTCCGGTGAATGCTTCAGACGTATTTTGTTTTCTGTCCAACGAATTTCCTTCGCTTGTTCTGGGAATGATAAAATAGCAGCCAAAGGACCATCACTTTGCGAGAAATAAGTTTAACCTTACCGTGAATGTATCAGCACCACAGCACCTGCAAGCGGTCACCATCTCCCGATGGTAGTACCCTTCTGTTAAATGTTTAAATGTACCCAACTGAAAGCTGTCACCTGCTAAGTCATTTTACATCATTTCTTCTTGGAGTTGTCACATTTAGGGACGAAATTTCACCTCCTCTGATTCATTTGCACTCCGAAACTAGCGACTAATATACAAATTTACTGTATTTATGTTTAAGGCAATCACAAAGTCAATTCATCCAATATGAATTATGGCGTGTTTAAAAACAGTATAATTTTTCAAACCCTGATACTCTGGTTGATCACCAACTGCCCTAAATATGGTCCCCATGATTTTCCTATTCAACGGCTCATTAGAGCTACAAGCGCTGACTCCAAAAGTGTTTTATGTCGGATAGTGATCGAATTTCACATAACAATTTCCAGTGAGTAGAGCTATTCGCGTCCTTTTCTCGAGTTCTAATAGAAGGGCGAAGCGGGCGTCATGACTCCTTAGCGTCCGCTTTTAAGCAAAAGAGGAGGTGAAAACTTGTCACCTATTGTGTGGTTTGTTGCCAGTTATGCTAACTGATAATATCGCTTACTGAAAGTAAAATCAGATGCCTGTTAAGAGAAGACTATTAACTTCCCATCGAAGCACGTACTTGAGGGTGAATTGTACGCTATGACTGAACGTCAGTATTTCTCCATTCTGCCTCAGAGCTAAGAGCCCACACTTCACATGGGCATTCGCACGGTGACGGGCAGTCACCGGCGTAAACAGACTCTGAAATGGCCACTTATCACTTGGTTTCAGCCATTAGTTCCTGAGGTATCTTTATTCTCTGGACACGGATTGATTTACCATCGGTTAACGGTCTGACTTGACAGTATCTTATGCCGTACCTCACACCAATTAGTGTGATTGCAGATAGTGGATAAATTTGCAGTGTGATAGTTAATTTTAAAAATTTTAAACCTTTTCCGTAAAACAAACAAACAATAATAATACTATATTTCGAAATGTATAGACATATTTCAGTATGCATCCCTCTCGCGACACTTTCGGCGAGTTTTCGACGTCAGTGAATTCGCCGTTTTCGCCTTTTTCCACGATCACCTCTCAACATTCGTTTCTCTTGACCTTTCTACTTTATTTTTAAAGTGAATGAAATTTGCAGCTCACCGGATTCTTTTTTAACCAGTCGTTTGATTTTCATTGGCGACCGTCGCAGTCTTAATTAGCAAACTCTCCTAATGTCCTTGGTGTGTCCAATAGATTAAGGAGGTAGCTCAAAGATTTGCGGTTTGTTCGTACTAACCAGGATAGACTACACTAAATACCGAGTATTTATCTGCAACTGAAAAACTCTATTTTGCATTAAATCGATTTTCTCATAAAAATAAAGACAGCTGGGCCGCAACTGTCACGAAATCCAGTGACATGCCGAAATAGGTGAAACACCTGGTATTGAAAACACCTCCTCTTACTTTATAGCTAAGAAGGTACGACAGGGGAATAAGAAACCCTCCTTGCGCCTTTTTTCAGGGGGGTACCCTAACCCTAACCCAGACACTAACCCGAAACCGAAACGTAACCTCGACCCTAACCCCCAATATCCCTGGAACCTTGCGCAAAGCCCGGAATGGGGGAGGGTCTCATTCCCGTGTCCTACCCTAAAATTATACTGAGCAATGACACGAGATAGAATAAGCACAAGGATCATGTTTGTTTTTCAGGATTATAAAATACCATACTAGCTGCACAGGTGCTGGCTAAAAGTCCAGACACGCGTGTTTCGTCGATACTCTACTGCTGCATGGCACAACTATGAGGGGTTCGGCACTTTACTGGGTCCCCAGCATTCCCCATCTGCTTTCTGGTAGATACTTCAGTCTGTAACTTGTCGCTTTTTAACTTCCTCAGAAACTGACTGCGAACTTGGGGTAGGTCAATATACACAAAGGTCCATGGGTGTAGACTGAGATTTGGTGTATGAGCATTTGTGCGAGGAGCCTAACCCCTCGCAGGTGCGCCATGCAGCGGCAGAATATCGGCGAAGCACGCGTGTCTGGGCTTTTAGCGAATACCTATGCACCTGGTGTGGCTTCTTGTAACCCCAAAATATACTACTAACTGTCTGTAAGTAGTTAGTGAATATTACGCGGTTATCCCGCTGTGACTGATGGAGTTCGGCCCAAATACTCGTACATCAAATTTCGGTCTGCCTCTATAGACCGACTCCGATCGACTACCGATCGACTCCAAGTTCGCAGTCAATTTCTGGGGAAATTAAAAAGCAACGGTTATGTTTACGTTTCAAATAGTTACAGTTAGGCCAAACAACTGTTTGCTTGAAACTTCGTCGCGAGTTTCCTAAAACAACTCTGACAACTGAAAGGGCAAACGATGTATATTGGAACATTGTCTTTACTACGCCTGAACTGTTGAGGTTGTCAAGGTCGTTCAAAAACCTTTTTCGATTCTCTGCAATCACATGCTCTACTGTTGCCACATTTATTCTTAACTGTCCGAATCAGTCAGTTGGAAGGTACTTCCTTATAATGTCCTGGCTGAATAGTTTTCGGATTTAATTAAGACAGGAGGGACTGAGAACCGTACCATTTTCAGGATCGTGGACCTATGGGCTAACGCAGTAGCAGTAATTATAATGTGGACCTAAAATGACGGGCAGCAACCAGATGTTGCACAAATATGGCGCACGCTTTTTACATTCGGTCATTGTGCACCAGGCGTTCAGGGTCTATTGGTTTTCATCGCACAACGCATGGGAATATGGAACTCCCTTCGTATTGCAGGTTGCCATGCGCTAAACTACGGGGGACGTTGGGATTAGGACCAGGGTGGGGGGCTTAGGGTGGGCTTAAGGGTTCGTTATGAGTGTTTGTGCTGTGGTTATGGTTAGGAGATTTGAGGACACGGGAATAGGTACATCCCCAGTACTTAGGGCAAGGCCACTTGTAGCGCGAAAGGGGGCCCAACTTCTACTTGGGTGTCAGTCGCACTTCTGCAGGACAACAAGCCCTGCGAGGTGTTTCAGCCACTTGTGACATCCACCTTTTTCGTTCAAAGACACGCAGTTTAAAAACGAGAGTTTTGTCAGTTCAGACGATTTACTGGACAGGCCATGTTTGAAAGGCAGGTGAGTAGGGGGGGGGTGATTGAATCGATTACTCTGCTGCCAGGAGGGCTAGCAGTAAATCTCGATAGTCGCCGGATGTTTCCTCACGAACCATCTCAACCAGGGGGCTTCCAATCTTCTGGTCGAAAATACTCTTCAGCGATTTTAAATCTGTCTAAAAGAAAATTAAACGGACAAGAAATTAGGTTTAACTACTTCAATTATACGTTCAAACGTAAAGCCAATCTTCTAAAACACTGGCATGTATTATACAGATACTTCCAATTGAGCCCTTTTTTCACTTTTATTCGGAACGGCTATTTCAGTCGGTAGCCTCTTCCGAATTAATTACTCCTCTGCCGGTCCCACTACGTTGTAATTCCTCTGCTTCATTAATTCTTCAAGATTTCAGGTCAAGTTTGCAGACTGGACTTGCATACATATTACATTTCATTTGTTTTCGCTTATCAACTGAAACTTCAGGTTGTCCCATACAAATTTTGATTGTGGAACCAGTGTAATGATTACGGAGGTATCCCAATCCACGCAGCAACAAGATTCCGCACATTTCTTATGGTCCCATCTTGTTTAAAATTACCAAATTAACGTCTGGGCACTCTCTTTTTAAACCTTGGACCGACAAAAGTATGATAGGCACCGTATGCTAGATATGGGCAAGAGGACTCCGAAGCAATTATATGCCGCCGATCAGCCAAAGTCTCACCATAAGTAATGTCCTCTCCCCACCTTCCTCCTAAGAGATCCAACAGAGAGGACAACAGGAGGGCGAGATAAACCCTATTTCTTTAAAGTATCTGTGAGTTTTTTGCCTGGACTTTGTCGTGACTTCTGCTGTCTTTGCCCACGGGTCTATCAGGACATATATTTTGGTTGTCAGGCGCAGTAGAAGTAAGTAGGAAACCCATTCTTGCAGCTTTTAAGAATTCACTTTGACCCAACTGTAAAAAACTCGGTGCCTCGGTGGGATTCAAACCCATGACAGCAAGGGGAGGCTTTAGTATAGCCAGCTCTCTAACCATCTGAGCTACGAGGACCCGCCGGACGATGCGAGTTTAATCTCATTTGAGTCAAGTTTACCCATCCAACTTACTGCAGCGTCTGATACCAACACATCTGAAACAGTAAGCAGAATTTCCCAAGTAATAAATTTAGAATTCACCAGATGACTACCTGGCTCACGTACTTCAAAGGTGTCATGGCTGGTGCAGTGATGTTACTGACAGTTACCACTCGAGACGAGGGATTGGTAACTGCAGAGCAGGTTGAGTTTGCTTTCCATACGTGATCCATTCGGCATTTACTGATCGCCGATCTAATCAAGCAGGAGTAAAAGTACTGCCCAGGCACCGCTCGAAGTTAATTTAAGGATTTTCCCGTCTCGATTGCCTGACATACTGTAGCAGCCTTTTCTCTGTCCCCTCGTTCTACTCTTTAAGCGCCACGGCTGCGCTCGCTAACCCTCGATTTGCACTCCCGTCCACGCCACACTCCTGGTCGATACTTTGCCACTACCTTCGCGTGGGCTCGGAGCCAATCAACGCAATTCCTATCGCTGATTGGTTACAAGTGAAAACACGGGACGCCGTCCTTGTGGACGTGATTTGGAACAGACAGCACAGAGGCAAGAAGGCCACGACACTTTTGCAGCGGCGGCCTTCTGCGACACAGGGCTCGTCGCTCTCGCGGACGCCGCCTCCGCGGCGCCGGACGCATCCTCGTCCGGTTGCTAACTTTCCCCTCCCCTATTCTGTACAGAATAAAGTGTCCAAACCAAATGGCGTCCTGCTTCTAACACCTGGGGATATGGCCTGAAGTTGTGGCGTAATGAGCGTACACCATCACCGCTTAACCGCTACAATACTATACCGGAGCACTGCACGGGCTCAGTAAACGTCAAGGAAAGGTGTGGGCAACGCGGCGTGCACTCGCTCATCGACGTCCTTCGACAGCACCAAGTCTGAGCAACACCTCTCAACTGCATGCTCAAGTCTCCTCCGAGGTCTAGCCCACAAAAACGTCTGCTACCCAGATAGTGTCAGATCTGTCGGCAAGACCTGATTCTGCCTTGACTGCTTATTCTAACGACGCACCAGAGGAAGACATGTACCGCTACATGAAGGCAGCTCCTTTTGCGGAAAATCTGTCAGCTCCCTTTGCCCTCTCTAACGGAACACACAGATTTCAGCAATGAAACGGACATTCGTGAAAACGTGAGAAAGTTCTGGCTAAGCTCTGAGCTTGCCATCGAGAGATGACTTCTCGGCAAACCGAGCACTTAGCCGAGTGTTTTTTATGTTATAGTGTGTGGTTATATGAAACACCTGGGAAATTTCAGAATGTATGTGCTGGTGCTGCTGGTGGTGGTTACAGGCTGACTTCAATATCTGCATTCAACTACCTTCCATTTCAGCTGGGCCGACTTGCTGATGACTGCTCTGTACCTACCTTTTGTTGGCTGGAATCTCAATAGAAGCTCAAGAAAAGGTAGTGATTATCTACTCTTTACAAATTAAGTAGCATTAAATCGTCTTGCCTTCCTGGGTATATGCAAAGTCACCGTCGATTATATATGGCGTATCATACTCATCTCTAGGAAAGCGATTACAAGTAAATTGCGATTGAGTGTAATAAGAACCCTTTCAAAAACTCGAGAGGTTATGGCTCATATTAGAAAATTGAGGCCTAGAAGGAGGGACAGAAAGGCTTTTCGGAGGACTTAGGCCCAAAAGGACGTTTTTAAGTGTTTCATGTGAAGGTATGAAGGGTTTATAACACAACAAGGACGTACATCACTTCGTAGGATGAAGATTCTTGAGATAGTTGGGGTGTCAAGTTTCAGTCCGTGCAAACTGTTGTAGAGTTGAGCGACAAGAAGCAGTCGCATGTCCACGGCAGCCATGACTAGACAAAGCGGAGGTGAGCAAATCAGATTTATCATTTCTCTACTCGACCTAAACCAGTAGCCTAGTGAAGCCTTTGTGTCTCCCTCCGGAACTTACCAGGAGTAGTCCAGCTCAACTGCCAAATCTGCGGGAAACGGAAATAGGCACTCGCAGCGTACTACAGGCGGTCTTGCGCTAAATTTCACTCAGGTATACCCATTCCCGCGTAATGACCCTAATCCCAGCACCAGTTCCAACCCTAACCTTCGCCCTACCCCTAATCTCCCTGAAATTTAGTGCAATTCCACCTGTAGAAGGGACGAGTACCTATTTCACATGCAACATGCTAACGGTACCTACTTCAATGTCTTTCGGTCTGTTAGACAGTTCTACTGAGAGGCAAAACAGCAAGGCTAATCATCACGTAAAAAATTAATACTCCTATGACATATGAGTCTAGGGGTACTTCAGGGCCAGCAATTTATCAATTTGTCAAACATAGTTTCGCCGATTGCGGCATACTAAATTCAGAAGCGACGCAGGCACCGTCTAGTCATGTTTCTCTGCTAATCCCTTTCTTATTAACTACTTTCGCATTTGGCGTCCATTAAAAGCTATGATTTTTGGCCATATGTGCACTGGGATATCTATAACCCCTTCGATTATACGAAGTCATGCATTCTTGTTGGTTGTTCTAGCCTGATTCTGGCACTTTATGACATGTCATGGCATACCCTCACATTGATTCCCAGCTACGCAGAATGAGTGCAGCCCTATCTTGCCCTTCTTAACGAATTGTAGACGTTTGACTATGTCACTAACTGCCGGAATTCCGACGTTAGCGGTTGCCTCTTGTCGTAAGCTGCCCAGATTGTGCAGTGAGCGGTACTCAACTCCCCCCCCCCCCCGGTGAATGCACCTCCTCCTTCTTGATATGCAACCTGGGAATCGCATTTTCACCGCTAGTAATAAGGCATCCTCTCACACCCATCCCTTCAGATGGCGAAACGAAATCGGGGAGACTGGAAATGGATGTTGACGCAGTATTTAATGAGCTCGACCCCACATCTATGTGTGCCACACACCTAGCCATCCGACATTCAGTGAAAAGGGTCTCAAATCTCTCCTTAAAGGGAGTCGCGATAAGTAAAGGTTCATGTCGGCCTGTCTCGCAGTTCAGAAGGGGACAGCATCATCGTATTGTTTGGCAGCCTTCTAAGCCACAACCTTGAGTTTCTCGCGATAGACTGAGGCACGTCGGACCACTGATAGGGACGAAACTGAGTATTGGATCCACTCTATATAGACTTCTCCCTCTCCCATGCGTCGATGACAAGTCGAATTCAAGCCATCGGGAAACGGTGACATCGGGCGCAGCATAAGACTGCACACTCTTGACGCATTCATCTCATTCTCGACAATGCACATACATTCTTTTTGGAAACATGTGGTACAAACTTACTGGTGGTGTTCAGGGCATGGCGCAGGGGTTTCTTCACGTGCTTGCTGATGAATTCCACGATGGTCTGGTTGTAGGTCTAAAACAACAATTAGGGATAAGGACAGAGGAGAGAGTGATGGCTTATTTCAGTTAGAGGCTATGACTAGGTACAGACCAGTTGTGTGCAGCTCAGAAGCAACCACCCCAGGGACCACCGTCATTGTCGGTAACACCTCTTAATCATTAACTGTTAGTCGCTCTCACATGACTGCGTTACCCTATCTCTGTCAGCGGGAGGCCCGTGGCGCCTCAATCCATTCAGTTTTGTCACCTACATAGCTGCAGGAATTAGATGATCAGGACGCCCCTGCGGCCGGTCCATGCGCACATGCAGCCCCTAGGACAGCCAATCACGGGCGTCCACAAACTCCGCAATTGCCCAATAAAATTGTCAAGCTAGCGCTTACTGACGCCCGCAGACCCAGGGCTGACCGCACGTCGGGGGCTATGGCCATCATTGAGTTTCTGTACAGAATATATATAACTACTACTGGTGTCTTTCGCCTTCTCTTCCTCCCAAACGAAGTACACTCACTACACACGCACTATCCTACAGGCCGACCCGATGGCTCAACGACCCACTGCATCCCGGTTCAAACCTCGGGTTTGTCAACAACTGAGCTCGAAGTGTCGGTGACGGAGGGCAACTGAAAAACTATAAGTGGATGCTACATGTGCGTCCATCAGCCCATCTCCAGTATCGCCTGGCTAACTCCACCTGTCCATTGTCCTACCACACAACGCCAGTGCTTGCTCTGTATGTGCGTCTACCACCACAAAATCGGAATATGTTGCAGTCGGTTAGGCCGGTAACTTGACCCAAATTTGATTAAACAAATGTGACTTAACTCACGGTTCTTGGTGTGGGCGTCATAGTTGGAGTGGTTGGAGCGCTAGCTGTACACAAAGCCTTACACATGCTGTCGTGAGTTCGGACCCCGCCGATGTGCTGAATTTTTCTCAATTGGGTCAGAGGCCTTATCCAAAGCTACCAAAAACCGTATCTGGCGCTCACCTTTACTAAAGGCAGGAGTTTTCATAGTGCATACAACCACTAGATCAGCACATCTGCCTTCCTATATGTATCATATATATATATATATCAGGTGAATAGTTTCGGAAATTAATCAGTGCAGAACTTGGAGTTAGATCTCCGGGACATGACTTTTTAGGGTCAGAACCGAAATTTCAATGAACATTTGAGTCGAAGACAATCAACTACTGTGGAATAACCACGTAATGCCCATTCTACAAACAAGTAGTACTACGAGTAGTATGAATTTCATATGGTAAAGGTATTATACCGTACTCACGACCTAGATACTTGCTAAAAGCCCAGACACGTGTTTCGCCGATATTCTGCCGCTGCGTGACACAGCTGCGAGGGGTTCGGCTCTTCAGTGGGACCCCCAGCGTTCTCTAGCGGTTTCTGGTATATGAACTCCAGAGAATAATCAGGTGAATAATTTCGGAAATTAATCAGTGCAGAACTTGGAGTTAAATCTCCGGGACATGACTTTTTAGGGTCAGAACCGAAATTTCAATGAACATTTGAGTCGAAGACAATCAACTACTGTGGAATAACCACGTAATGCCCATCCTACAAACAATGTTCATTGAAATTTCGGTTCTGACCCTAAAAAGTCATGTCCCGGAGATTTAACTCCAAGTTCTGCACTGATTAATTTCTGAAATTATTCACCTGATTATTCTCTGGAGTTCATATACCGGAAACCGCTGGAGAACGCTGGGGGTCCCACTGAAGAGCCGAACCCCTCGCAGCTGTGTCACGCAGCGGCAGAATATCGGCGAAACACGTGTCTGGGCTTTTAGCAAGTATCTAGGTCGGGAGTACGGTATAATACCTTTAATATATATATATATAAGCAGAATTGTATTACCGACAAAGAGATGGTAGACTGTAATGGCCACTTCTGGTTTTTTAGCCGTCGTCAACTAGTCATACCCAATCCGGAAGTGTGGAACATTCGAGGCTCGAACTCGCCACCTGTTAGTTAGAGGTCCACGACTCTAACCACTGGGCCATGAGCCCGTTGCCCTGTCGGTTTCGATCAGGAATTTACAATGGTAGGGGGAGCTCACTGATCGTTCATACGGAACACGCTCGTATTGTTGTGTTTAACGGGCTCTCTCTCGAGCCCAACCAGTAGCCGCACAGTGACGCATATATATATATATATATATATATATTTATAATGGGAGAAAAAAAGAGTTTTAAAATGCAAGTTAACAGACTCACATCCATGAAGTGGTCATACATGACACGGATTTCAAGGGTATTCGCTTTAGCAATAAGGTGGAGAATTGTTGTTTCATCCGTAGTCTTCGTACGCCTGGGTGGAAAATGGGCACCAAAGTAAGGGATGCAAGATTTTCGCTCGGGAAACATTTGATATAGCATCTTAGCAGAAAACTAAGCCATTTAGAATAAAGCAACCGAAAAGTGCTCGTAATCCCAATACCTAGCCTCCACGTGTGTGATGATAAGATAACCGCAAACTATATCGGCGGTCAGTTGCTACTCATGGGAGAGGCCGTGTTTGGCGGCAATGAATTAACTTGTGCATGGAAGTTCAGAATTTAATGCGTACACAAATGAATACTATTGGGTGTTTTGCAATGTTGGTCTTGGATATAGAACTTGTTTTTCAGTTTAATCGACTATTCGCACAGGGTGTGCCAGCTATCTGGGAACGAAATTCAACAATAGGGGAAGCAAAAGCATCCAGTATAAAGATCGACACACTTTTGCAGAATTAAGTATACATGTTCTTAAATACACGTCACAAATGGTCATTCCATAAGACTCCCATCATCCTCACTTACAGCCTCGGTGCGGCTTCTAAAACGACTACATTTGGCCATCAAGTAATTTCTATGTCTGTTAGTCATAAATTCCCCATTATATCATTCTATGAGTCCACGGTGGTAAAAGCCTGCTTATTGGCCTCGCTTTAAACGATGCCCCGAATGCAGTATTCCAGGGAGCTTAAATTCTGCGATCTCGGGAATTAAATGTCAGGGGTATCGTAGTCTCGAAATCCTCTGACCAGTCACCCCTGGGCCGTGTAGTATGAAATTCCGTCCTCAGATAGTTAACAAGACCTGTACGACTGTACCTTTTAAGCCTAATCTTCTGCATTTGGACAAGCGAAGACCATTTCTCAAATCGAAAAGATTGAACTGAGTTCGTAAGACCCCTCCAATCTTATTGTTAATTACCGTGTTACATTGGAAATCGTTTCTACTCACAAAAACAAGTAGTCAATATTTTGAAGATTAAAATCCTCTTACGTATCTACAGCAGCGTGGATGCGCTCCGCATTACGCTCGGCAGCCGCGACATCAACCAAGGTTTCCCAACGTCCCGTATTGACAGCTGACTGGATCTGAGCAAAGGTAAATGCCCTCCTTTCCGTGTTCAGAAAAAGTTGCAAATATTCTCGATGCTTTCCCTTAGTCTCCTTCTCAATGTCCTTTGAAAGAGTTCGTGAATTGTCTTAAAAAGAGTGACAAGACCATGTTGAAACCATCACATGTTAATCGCCCCTGCACAAAAGAAAAATCCATGAGAAACTTAAAAGTCATGAAAACTGATTATTTTCCGTTAGACTGGAATCTCTTATCTGGCTTATGTAATGTCCAAACTCCTGAAATATTTACTGTCTTATCTGAAATCTGTAAAAACCGGTGTTAGTTAAATCTTACTTGACCATTCCTTAATGTTGAAGATTGACATGGTCACAGCTCTCCTGCTGAAACTATAGTCCGGCTACCTCAACTTCTTTTTGATATCTGTTTTGTGACTGGGTCTTTTCCAGAAGCAAACTGTCATCTTAAAATCGGAAAACTTGACTATGTGTCGACAGGGTATTTGTTCACATAAGTTTAATAACGGTTTTGAAAAACAGTAATATTTAGTAAGTGCTTGAGTCCTGTTTTTAGTAATAAATTCATTGCGAAAGCTGGAGAACACAATTTAAGTCGCTTCCAAGCGTCGATATAAGGCGTGATATGCAAAATTGGTAACTCACCATCTATTCCTTTGACTTCAAGGACTATTGGAAAATAAAAGGAAATATACTTAAGTAACGGGAACTTGCGTTTTGCCCGAACAATCGGCAGAATAATAATTGCATTTAAAACTAGCAGTTTGGGGGAGGCGACAGCAAACAAAGATCAGATCCCGAAGTCCACTTTCTAATGTTTTCCTAAACATGAAGCATTTAAAATTCATGGTTCCCAGTGATGGAATCATCTCGAACTGCGTAATCCCTAATAGCCGAAACAAGCTTTCGTCATCCCCTTACTACTTGGGAATTCGACAAAGTGTCTAGGGACGATTTTGATAACAATGGACGTCTACAAATTAAACACTTAAAATAACACAGATTAATTACACGAGATTTTAAAGAGCAGGAACTGTGCTATGTTTAATATTTTTGAATAAATAGTCATACCGCTTAGACAGGGACCCCGGACTAAATCGGTCTTCCGTGACTAGTGTCAAAAGCGCTCAAACAGACAACTCACCCTCCTTGTAGACTGTCTTTAGAACGGACAACTCGTTGGGGTTGCAGCAGCAAATAATGTCATTGAGAGCAGCACCGGCCATCCCCGGTTTTTTCACTAACTTGTACAGCTGAAGTGCCAGTACCTGGATAGGTCCAAAAAAGAGATATTTGGCAAGCTGACGAAAATCCCCACTCAGCTCCTTGTTTAATACGTCGACCAGATCCTAAAACAAAACATTAAGTAGGACTTTTAGCTTTCTACTTTTCTGGCGTCAGTAGCTGCTATTTTCTGACTGTGAAAAACGCGGACTTACTTCTCGGTAAAGGTCCATGTAGCGTAAACGAATTTGATGGCGTTGCTGCAGCGTTCGCCGACCAATTACATCAATAATATCCTTCTCCTTGGTACCTTGATTTGAAAAATGATTAAACTGCAATTGCGACCAAGATAAAGAAGCAACAGACAAAATGTGGAATAATCATTATAGGCAATGAAAACGGAAGATATCCAGAGTCTCCTTACTGGGCTATTAGAAGGTACTAAGGTATTGTTTATGTTGACTAAATGATCAGTCTTGCAGACTGATTGCCATTCGCTCAGGTCCGATCCTTCCTTGATAATCATGAATCAAACTGCAAGGGAAACAGAAATTGGTCTGCAGGGGAGTTTTTGAAATCATGACCTGCGATGTAAACCAATATTCAACTTATTTTTCTGGCTAAACAAGTACCAGGCGAATGATCAATGCTTAAAATCACGGCAGACCGGAGGTGTCAAAGTTCGCTGCCTGCATCGAAGTACCCCCCGAGGCTGTCTTTTTGTTGCTTCATCAGTAGGGATAGAAACAGTCAATACTGACGTCAGTCAACTAATTGTCGGTGTGTTGTGCAACCGAGAGATCCACTACCACTTTCTGAGATCTTGGTAGATGTGTATCCGTTTTTTCGAAATCCAGACAACTTGAGATGCGTCATGGTAACCGCAACGGAAGCACAGATTGTTTAAACGAACGCCGGATCGAAAAAAGGAGCTTAACTCCAAGTCTCACCACCCAACGTACCCAGAAACTTCGGCTGCCGCGAGGCCACAGTTCTAAACTAAAGGCTGCTCGGGTTTTAAGATTCTCACCGTTCGGCTCTCTACAGTCAGTACTGCTGTAGAGATATGATTCAGATGACTGCAATGAGCTTACCTAAGACGACGCTGGGGTCCACCAAGCACCTGGACAGACAATTCACTGGGGGGGAAGTCTTCGCGCGTGTTCAAACAGCCTCCTTTTGCTCGCCGATTGATTACACGTACAAGTCACTCCCAGTACAATGGCACAAACAAATTTAGAAACAGATGACTCCTACAGGAATTATCTTCCCTTTTGTTTGGCGATGCGGTAAATATCAAATTGACTGAACTCCGCCATTTGAAGCCGCACAACATTACCGCTCCACCACAAAATATCCACTGACCATCCCTGAGATCTGTCTTTATAGAAGTCGCCTTTTTTGAAACCATAACGGCGACTCAGAGAATGTATAGGCTTCACATGATGAAGTTGCTACGCCGCTGAACAAGCCCCAGTGGTTTATCGCTGAAACCGCGTCTCTAGTGTCCTAACAACCTTCACACTCACCTTAACCCCTCAGCGTATCGTTATTTACCAGTTCCTTTATTATGAGGAGTCATATCATCAAGACGTATGCCAGATGGACTTCGCTACGTCCTTTGGTTAGCTTTGTTCCGTAGACCCGCGACTCGAACAGTTCATTATGCATGCAGTCGTCATCTCGTGCAAGATTTGGACTTTGTCAAACTTTGAAGTGCGTCTTGGTCGCGCCGAGTAAACCTTGAATTGTGACTTAGCGACCTCATTTGTGAGCGCAACACTATCCCCTACTCTTATGCCAGAACTGACCAATCTCCCATTGAGGCGCTATCTAACAATCTAAACTCGCCACCGTTGGCAGCATTTCCAACACGTAGACTTATGAAAAAAGGAAGAGGTTCTTCGGAAAAATCGACTTGTACTCGTGAATTTTCGAGCTGGTGACACCAACCCGTCGCCAAACGAAATGAAAACAAGGAAGGCAGTTTGTCACATTAGACTAGTTAGCTTGACAGGACAGATATACTATTGGCCTATGAGAGGTGTGGCCGCAGAGTCATGGGACGTCTCTGCGCGAGGGGGAGGGGAAGGCGGGACAACTACGGATGCTTGTGCTGGAGGGGGAGGGTGGATGGTGGATCAATTGGACTCCTGGTGGCTGGATTAGCGGCCGTTGATGTGACACTAGGGCAGGGGGCAGCAAGTCGTGAGCGTAGGCCCTCGTTATGGGCGTTCAGGTCGACATGGCGGTTGATACTACCAGCATTGGAGTACCAAGCCTCGAGAAATTGTCTCGCCCGTTTTGTGTAATCCATGGCGACGACCTCAGTGCCTCCCTAAATGAATCAGTGGTCGCACTCGAGTGCATGAGCAAAGACGAGGGACAGGGGGTCTCGTCGACAGATCGCTAATTTGTGTTCGTTAATACGGGTGTCCAGGCTTCAACCTGTATGATCAACATACACGCAAGAGTAGTTTGCGCACGGAAGGAGGGGATCCTTGATTCGAGATAGTACTGCGCGTAGTGAGGATGCTGGTTTGTGGGCGATTTGAATACCCGAGCGATTTAACTGCCGGGCAATTACATCGTACGCTCCTTGTATATAAGACAGGAAGATGAATTGTCGAGAAACAATTCCCCTGTTGAGGGTGGGACCTTGCGGTTGTGCCTGATGACTGAGGCAGTTCTTTACAAAACTTGTCGGATATCCGTTAGGTCGAAACAGCCGATACAGGTAGGCAAGCTCTTCCTTAAGGAGATCGTCGCTGTTGCAATAACGATAGGTCCGGTGGAACAGAGTTCGGCCGCAGCTTCTTTTGTGAGCTGCGAGGTGGTTGTTTCCATAACTGAGGATCCGCCCCAAGTAGTCATCTTCCCCTATCACAGAGTCCTTTCAGAGGCCAATGAAGATATCTATAGGCCCCCCGGAGGCAACGAAGCAAAATATAATTGGTTGCGAGGTGTTTTGGATTTTGCGCATTTCCGATGTATTTGGTAACATCGTTCACTCCCATGCTTGAAATTCAGACCTCGTTTTTGCTATTAATGGCCTCTCATTGACTGGGAGGCATTTCAGCTCTGTTAAATGTATAATAACCACAATTTCATTACCGAATAAGAAGGCAAGGGAGACTGGAATGACCGTTTCTGGCTTAACAGCCGTCGTCAGCCGGTCATACCCAATCCCGAAGTTTGGAATACCTGGGGCTCGGTCCCGCGACCCAGTAGTTAGAAGTCCAACGCCTTTAACCACTGAGCCCTAGGTTTCCACACTTCGGGATTGGGTTTGACTGGCTAACGACGGTCAGTAAGTCAGAAATGACCATTCCAGTCTCCCTTGTCTTTGTCGGTAATAACACTTTGCCTATATCATTCGTTGCTGTGTGACTGCTGGCTGGGTTCGAGAGAGAGAGAGAGAGAGCGCCCATAAGGTACAGCGGAACGAGTGAGATCCATAAAAGACGATTGGTGAGCGCCCCTCTACCCATTGTATGATAATCATCTGTATCTTCAAAAGAGACAGATCATTTTAGAATTCTCTGGCCCTATGGTGGTGCGTGGATGTAAATCTGTCTATACTGGCCAAAGAAAGTACATCAATCTTGCTTTTACTAACTCCTTTTTGACACTGAACTCCCTAACCCTCAGGCCCTCTTGGACCTAATTATGTTGCTCCTGATGTGATCTTTAATTACGGTCACTGTGAGAGAGGACGGCCCATAGAAGTCTCCCTACCTAATTCTTGTTCTCGTTCGACTTCTTTTTTCACTAAAAATATTGACAGCGGATGCAGAAAATGTCATAAAGATGCTCTGGGCGGCTTCCTCACATTGTGGGAGACCATAATATCGCCTCCTTTTTGCTTTCCCCTCGAAAGTAAAACCGAGTTTTTAAAGGGTTCTTTTATCTACATACTGAATCGTTTAGCTTAAAGGTATGACGGTTAATTCTGCGTTTAAAAGTGCAAAATATATAGTCATCTATGATCGGGATCACATTTTTAGGACGGCCTGGGCATCGCATGCGTAGCTTCTCTTTAGCTAGCGGGTGGAAGGGCTGTTGGTTTCTCAATCCTGACTACAGCACGTGACGCGGATCTTTGCGCGTGAATTCATTTCTGATTATAATAGACTTTCGCCCCATGTATTCCACTCTCCCCCCCCTCCTCGTCTGCCCCCGCCCGACGTCAAGACGGAGTCTAGATGACCGGAGGTGGGAGAGGGCGCAGGTGGTTCTTATGGCGAGAACCCCCACTTGGCGTGCCCCCACACCTTCCGCCCCCGCGATCCACAGCGTACAATGACTAGGATCTCACACAAGAAGGGAAAAGGGGGACGGCTCGGATCTAAACTGGCGTGGCATGGACCTGCACCCTGCGCACATCTCAATAACACCTGCCGATCCTCGATCTGGCTCCCGTGTTTGTTCAGCACATATAGTGAGGGGTCCGTTTTAGGATCACAAGGTTATCACATAGTCACAGGCAGCAAGTCCTTGCGAGATTTTGCAGAGAAAAGAAACCGGAAGAACCTCAAATCCAGAAGGGCTCGCCTGAAACTAGGTTAGATCGATGGAGTAAACTCTCCCGGTTGTAGAATACAGGGTGTGAACACAGGTCTCTATGCTACACCTGCGGCTCAGGGATTAACTGGGTGTGGGTTCAGCTGGTAGGGTTTCGAGGTCTGAGGTTGGGATCTGGTTGCCTGAAGACGGTAAATAAGGCAGAAATTACTGCTTCAGACTCTTCCTCACACGTGTCAGTTAAATGACCGTACACGCATATTCAGCCACATTGCGATGACGTATATGATCTCAAACTCGTTCACTTACGTAACCAAACTGGGAAAAATGCTTTCTTTGTGCACTTTAGAAAAGTAACCGGAGGCGAGTTGAGATCTTGCCGATGGATACAGGCACTTCAATTGGTCCGGATTGAAAGGAAGCCGACGCGCCATAATAGTTTGCGGTAGCAGATATTTTTACACGAGAGTTCGACCGTCGTGAACGACAATTTTCACTGAGAGCCCCACAGTAGTATGGGCGCAGGGTCAGTGACCGCGCGAATTTGCTCCATCTACCGAACTCTGTCTCCCGCCTCACCATCCTGAAGCCGGTCTCAAGATGAAGTCGAGGTCAGAGGTGGGATCGGGCGCAGTGACTGACAAGGCTAAACAGGCCGTCTATCAACGTCTGGTCCGCAAAAGTGGACCAGATTTGCATTACCGACATAAACAAGGGAGACTGGAATGGCCATTGCTGGCTTATTAGCCGTCGTCAGCCAGCCATACCCAATTCTGAAGTGTGAAATACCTGAGGCTCGATCCCGCGACCTGTTAGTTGGAAGTCCAACGCTTTTAACTACTGAGCCACGAGCCCGCTGTCTTGTGGGTTGCGATAGGGAATTTACAATGGTAGGGGACGCTCACCGATCGGCTAATAAGCCAGAACTGGCCATTCCGGTCTCCCTTTTCTTTGTTGGTAATGTCATTCTGCCTATATCATGCGCCGCTGTGCAGCTGCTGGGTAGGCTCTAGAGAGAGAGCCCGTAAGACACAACAGGACGAGTGAGTTTCGTAAAAACTACCGATGACCGCCCCCTACCAGTGGATCAGGTTTTCGTGCAAACGAAGAATCGGACGACTTGAATGCCAACCGAGTGGGAATACCATATAGGCCACAGGAAGAGCGAGCCGTTCCAACCCGACTCGCAGTCCTTAGAGGGGGATCTACCTATCCCGTCATTTGGTAGCCTTCTAAGCCACGGCTTTTAGCGCAGCGTGGTAATTTAAAAACACCTCAGGTTATTTATACGGAAGGCAGCCCGCTGGATGTCGGGCACTAGTCCACTGCCCGAGTGCACTCGAATACAACTAACATGGAGTACAACCAGGGACTGGACCTTTCAAATTGAGTCGCCATTTCTTCCCTACCGTCTACCCACAGATGGGCGATGGAATAAAGTTACGTCTTACGCGACCCTCACAAGCTAATCTTTGCCAATGCCAACTGGCTCAATCTCATTGAATCACCGATCATCCCGAAAATACCAAACAATGTGAGCCGGCTCTTATAAACTGCGGTGGTGGCTGCCCCGAGAATCAACTTGTCCCAACTCCCTCGTTGGGGCTACCAGGGCTTGGAATTGTGGATGCACGCAGGAGATAGTGTGGGGATGTAGTCACAACTTTCCCGACTTTGGTTTAGTCAGTGCCAGACTCCTGGCGCGTTGTCGGTTATCCAGCGGCACCACGGCGCCGCGCTAGCCACCTTCCAACTTTAATCCTATAGCCCATTGCAAGACTGCAATATATATGGCAGTTTGCGGCCTCGATCATCATAGTGGCTAACGCTCTGCGTTATCCTACCTTTCATTGTCATGCTTACTCTTGCCTATTAGTCTATTAATTAGACCCTCCCGCATCGCCTGGAGACCCCATAAATACTGAGGACAATTGATATCCGGGCATCTTGAACAGGAGAACGCCTCCCCGACGACTCCCCACGTCATCGCCATTTTCGTTTACCGGATCAACCAAGGACCAACCATTCTCCGCGTAGCATATCCTGTCTGAACTACAACCCTCCGTTCAAAATGATCTCAAATCTTTCGCTAAGGCCACTGTCTTGTGTTCTTATCAGGGGTCGAATAAGGGGGTTTTGACACTTAGCCCTGTTGGGCCGCTTGCAGTTGTTAAGACCACCAGTAAGTGTCGCCAATGAGTGCAACTGGAGTCTACTAGTTCCGTACACTGATTGGTTATCAACCAGCCAATCATGACGACTGAAAAAGTAGGTCAAGACTTTCTTGGTTCTGATTTTTATCGGATATCACGCGCTGCAATCAAGCAACAGAACTAGAAAAAAACGAACTGAAAAGAGCATCGAAGATGCCTCACGGCTGTCTTGAAGGGGAGGAGAGGAACGGAAGTCACGTGTAGGTTTTGGCACGGATGTTGCCTTTTTTTTCCACCTACACCACCACGACAGCATTCTTGGAATCGACTTATGATGGTCTGCGTAATGGTCTATTGACTGACGTGTAAAGCTACGCACACTTTCTAGCGGGCTCTTCTCACAACTGCAGAAATGCCTGACACCGACGACGAGGTGTTCAGTGCCCTGTCAAGAGGGCATATCACCTCTCCGTCTTACCATTGCACATCGAGTGTCTTTTTGTGCCAACAAACGAATATGGGGGCAGACAACTGAGTTGTAGTGCTTGGACTCGAAACTGATCAACGTTGCACGCACATGTTGTGGCAGGTCATTCAACCGGGTTGCCGGTCAGACCTCATATGTCGAATGGAAAGGGAGTGGTAACGCCCACTAGCCAGTTATGTGAGAGATGCCTATTCCGTGCCTGCGCTGGGCGATATGGGGCGTGTTCGTGTATGGCGTAGGGACTGGTGAGGGCATAATTGGCGATGGGGATGCCGTGCTACATGGCAGTTCGATCGTCGATTTCGACGGCGTCCACCGTGTGCCACACAATGAGGTGAAATTAGTTTATGGTGAATGTTGGCTTGCGCACCATCTACCACACTCTCTCCTTAATCCCCCCCCCCTCCTGGATCCGGTGTCAAGACAGAGTCAAGAAGACGGTAGGTGGGAGAGGACACATAACAACGGCGTGACATCAGTTTTTCAACGCGAACAGGACGTATTCTAAGGTCTCAAGTTATGACATTCAGGTATCTTATTATTACATGCGAGACAGTAGTTTGATGTTGATAGAAAGCAGACTACAGGAAAGTCCTCTAGATGCGACATAATTTGTTAGAAACATGATCTTCGCACGTCCGTCATCCCCGTCACCCTCCTAGTTCCATAGTCGGGTTCTGAGATGGGAGAGTTTGTTTTTACAGGAAGTGAGTCATGTATCAGGTTACCGCAAGCACTTTTCCTCCTCCGCCGAAACTGCGAACTTGTCACTTTGGTTACCTCTGTTACTTTCTGAATAATCCTTCCTTAAGACACTTTATTTGATTGTAAATTGCCATATAAGGGGTCGTTGAGTGGATTTACCCAAGGCTTCTATGATCTGCAAGAAGGACTTGCATTCGAACCCAAGAAAATCATTAGCCTGAGCGCTCATAATGAAAAAGCACCCTTAGGATAGTTTGACAGTTTATATTTTATTCTAATCGGTTAACTGGGCATTTCCTTGACACAGCTTAGCTCCACCTGTAACTACAATATAGGTTACTGACGGTAACTCTGTTTAGCTGGCAATCATTCATAAGTTTCAGATAAAGGGGATGACTAACTAGTTTCCATATGTGGGTCGTCCGGCCAGCTAATATTTGTCTGTGAATGCCTTATCGGACAGGTTTTTAGGAAATAACGGATATATTAGTGGAATTGGTCTGAGGCTATTTGATCTTACCAAAGCCTTTGCATGCATCGTAGATTTTTCTGCAATCCTCCGTGCAGTCCATGGGCAATCTAAAGAATAAATTGGAAAAGAGTTTTTAAACTTTTGAAAAAAGACACTAATGGCAAACTCCCAACGGTGGGCTGTTTAACATCTTTGCAAACACGGTCTCCCTCAGAGTACAATCGACATCTTAGGGTGTGTTCAGCCACGTTAACAACTGCGGGTAGTCAAAACGCCTACGGTTTCATTGTGAGCACAAGTTATGGACCGATAACCTCCCTGGAAGTGCCGCGGAAAATGGTTACAACACCAGCTGTGCCTTTTTATAGACGATTCCCGCATAGTTCATACATCAGCCAGTCACCAGCAGCGAAATTCTGGCTGATCATGTTGTGGGAGTACATGTATTCAG